GTTAGGTATCAAGGTAGCTATAGGTTGGTGCTGTAGGTTCGAGGACACTTGAAAGAGTAGTAGAAAGGTCTCATAGGACATTGTAGGAGAGAAGCTGACAAGAGCAACTTTTCAAATTTTAGAATCTTGTCTGCAGTCACGGCATACTTAGTACTTTCTCTATATACGTTTCTAAGATTTTAGCTTAAATTCATTGAATAAAAGCAAAATTTTTGTATATTACATACTTGAATGTTTATTTTTCCAACCTACATTTTTATGATCCTTTAAAATTATTATCTTCAGTATTACTGAGCAGATTTTCTTCAAAGTTATACAATATTCACTAACGTAACTTTATTTCAAGAAAGGGGTACTATAAATGGTGAGCAGCAAATTAATAAAATGAAATAGCACGAAAGTCATTATCGGGCATCTAAGTTTTTGCCTCAAAATTCAAGCTGGAAGCAAAGTCATAAATTTGAGTAAACGATCTGAAGCAGTAAATATGTTTTTTGTTGTCAAGGAGTATTGAATAAAAAGGGTTTCAGAAGAATGTTTCCGACGTTACAAGTGTCACTGACCGGTTTAGATCCATCGCTAAAATACTCGTTAATGGTCGACCTGACTTGCATTGATAATAAACGATATCGTTATGCATTTCATCAGTCAAAATGGATTGTTGCTGGTCCAGGTGATAAATTTATTTTTAAACCCAAGTTTAAAAATTGTGCTGTTAAGCGTAAAATGCAGGTAGACAGATTATGATTGATTTCGGATAACAGGAATTTTTTGGTCTAATCTTGATTGCCTAAAACAATTTCATTTTTGATCTGCTCTGACTCAAAAGAATTTTTTTAATCAAATCTTTTACAGTGGGTTTTGAAAAGTAATTTTGATACTAAAATTCTGAAACTTTATTTTTTTTACTATTGTAATTACTGTGAAGCCGAAGCTTTTTTTTCTGTATACCACAAGCATTATTTTTTGTTTGATTAGATTCATTAAGATTTCGCTATGCAGGTGAAGCTGAATTACCATGCCGTGTTCATGTTCATTGTGAATCTCCAACAACCGGAGCTCACTGGATGCGGCAAACAGTAATTTTTGACAAGATCAAGCTAACGAATAATCAGATGGATCAAAATGGACACGTAATTTGTTTCTGGTGTTACTCATTTTGTATCACAGTTTTTTATATTTTTTACAATTACTATTACTACAACTTATCAGTAAATTACGCGGGTAAAGTTTTCAGATTTTTCAACCAATGCTAATCTTGCGGCCTAAAGATTAAAACTTTTAACAAATGCCGTTATGTTGAGCTCAGATGCATTTGCATGTTAAAGAATACAAAAACTACATTTTCACTCAGTTATCACAGATCTTCCCCATAATCCTGTGCTTTTGATTCCTTCATTTTGGAAACGTTTTTTAGCGTTCAAAATTGGTGAAGTAAAAGATATAAAATTTATTTGCACATTAAATCTTTCAGCAAAGTGATTGACAACAAGTTCTTATAATAATGTCTTTTTTGACGTTGTATAATTATAGCTCAAACTGACAAAATGCTTCGTACAGCAGAAACAATAACCTGTAGATGTGCGCTTTGACGTAAATTACCGCATTTTATTGCACATTATATTTAACCTGTAAATTTTTGGCACTCACTGTTTCAGTAATAATCAACATTGATGGTGTTTTAAAAAATCTTGTACACAGGCGGTAAATTAGAGGATAAAGCTATGAAGTTGTTGCTGCTGCTAAATACTCTAAATTACAGATAATTGTTAATTCAATGCATCGATATCAGCCAAATTTACATATTGTTGTTCATGCTGAAGGTCCCGGTTTAACCTGCCGAAGTTTTACATTTCCAAATACGGCATTTATGGCTGTAACAGCTTATCAAAATCATCGAGTTAGTAATATTTTTTGTATTAACAGTTTAGTCATTTCTGGCATACTTGAAAACTCATGTTATTTTTTATAATAAACAGCTGAAGTTTTAAAAAGCAATAACAAATATATAGGGAATAGTGCTGTTAAAGTAAAATTTAGCTTTTACGCTGCTACGTAAATTTACAAATTTTATTTTGTTTAAAACTTTTCAAATCAAATTATCTGAAATGGTCACTGTATCTATTATAGAAGCAGAATTAATTGTTTAATTCTAAAATAGAAATTTGATATTTTTGGCAGTATTAACTTCAAAATAAAACTTTTTTTGTTCTTCGTCAACGAAGTTTTTCACTTTACTTTATAAAACTGAAAATAAAACAAAAACGTTACAAATATCTTTTTCTTCACAAAAGTGGCTTTTTTTTTTCTAAAAGACTTTTTCAATCAAACCAAAAAAAAAAATAAGATTTTCAAATTGATTATTGTTTTTATCGTCTTCATTATCAACAATAAACAATGAAATCATCTTCAGCATCTGCTACTGCTGCTGCTGCTGCTAGTAGCTTAGGAACACATAATGTTTGTTAAATAGAACAGTGGGTGAAAGTAAAGTTAATAATTTTTGTGATATGCTGACAAAAAATAATAAACGATGATGAATTATTGCAGATCACTGAATTAAAGATTGAAAGCAATCCATTTGCTAAGGGTTTTCGTGAGTGTGAAATGGCCGATACCATCCCGATGCTTCTCAATCCACTGTTTCCATTTTATACCACTTATTTCAATTCGCAATTTTCAACTGCAAACTCGTTTACCTAACTGAATTTTTTGCGACTAATCTAATAGTGACAAAACAGTACATCTGAACGGCCTATAAGAAAAGGGAAAAAGAAGACTGTGGGAGAAGAACCTTCACTGATAAGAGCACCAAAGATGATAATTGCTATCTTCCTATAAATTTTAGTTTTATGGTATTCAGCGGAAAAGTTGATTCTTAATTTCAGTATTATTATTTGTTTTTGCAATTTTTTAATTTTACCGTTGTTGTTATTTCTGCGTGTTTTTCTACTTTTTAAAACAAAGTTTTTTTTTTTTAAAATTAACATCTTCGTCATTCGTTCTTCTGCGTTTTCTGACTTTCCTCAATAGTCATCGTAATTTAATCG